CCTCAGCCTCCCAGAATGCCCCCCACTCTTTACTTATTATTTTTTCTATTTATTTTTCAATAGTTCCTTTACCCTTAGTTAATAAAGAAGGTTAAAAGTTACCCTCTCCCCCAATAAAGTGTTAATTACCTAGAAAGATCTATTAAACAAAAACAATTCATTCTTCTCCTCTAACCTGGGAAAAATGTGAAAGATCAAAGAGACCAACAACATTTGGTTGTTTTGTATGACACTTTACACAGATGAGAAGAATGTAGGTTCTAAGCCTGCAACTGAATTTCTCATAGTGGATTTGCAAAAGTGATTCTCTGTACATTTCTTTTTTCTTGTATGAAAGCTGTTTCACTGAATTTTATAAAGCTAAATGTCAAAAGTTCCAGTAAACAAATTATGCTTTCTCAGGTACATTTGTCTCTAAATGTAAAAAAACAGAGCAAATGAAATCAAGCACCTGAATTCCATCTCTTCATTCCTGTAAAAACAGTAACAACTATACTTTTGAGTATGTAGAGGAAGAAAATGTCTGTGGTTGGTGTCAAAAGCTACCTGAGCCAACCATATACAAGGAAACCTCTCCCTCCTGTAACTGTAACCATGCAAACACAGCCTGGTATAGTCATAGTGGAAAAAGCGCTGGGCTAATCAAGTGTCCTACATCCTACTTCCTTTTTTTTTGAGATAGAGTCTCACCCTATTGCCCTGGCTACAGTTCCGTGGCGTCAGCCTAGCTCACAGCAACCTCAAACTCCTGGGCTCAAGCAATTCATCTGCCCCAGCCTCCCACCTCCCGAGTAGCTGGGACTACAGGCATGCACCACCATGCCCCACTAATTTTTTCTATATATTTTTAGTTGTCCAGCTAATTTCTTTCTATTTTTTTTTTTTTTTTTTTAGTAGAGACGGGGTCTCGCTCTTGCTCAGGCTGGTCTCGAACTCCTGAGCTCAAACAATCCGCCTGCCTCGGCCTCCCAGAGTGCTAGGATTATAGGCGTGAGCCACCACACCTGGGCTACATCCTACTTCTGGTTCAACCTTTAAGTAGCTGTATAACTCTTGGCAAATTTGTTTCCTCATTTATAAAATGAGGAGATAGGGCTAGATGATTACTAAAGACCTTTCAAGGTATATAACTCTGGTCCTACAAATATGATTAAAATGACGCAGAAATAAATGCGATTCTGATTCGTCAGTTCTGGGAGAACAAACTCACCAACTAAAAACTAAAGAACAATTTATTCTGACAAGAGTTTTCTCATATGTCATCAATATCCCCTCCTGTTCTTTTCATCCGCATGCAAACCCAGACTTTCCCCAAGACTTATCTATCAGCTGTGGCCAACTAGCTCTACTGCTTGCAGCAGGTTAAAATAAACATGCAGCCTGATTTCCAAATAGATCAGTAAGCTCCTCCGTTTCATAACCAAGGGTGCCACTGCTATGCCACTGGTATTAATTATCTGTTAAAGAATCCTCTGATTAGAGCAGTGCTTCTCAACACAGGCGATTCTGACAATGTCTGGAGACTTTTTTTTTGGTCACAACTCAGGGTACTACTGGCATCTAGTGGGAAGAGGCCCAGTATGCAGCTAAACACCTTACAATGCACAGGACAGTCTCCTACAACAAAGAATCATCTAGCTCAAAATGTCAGTAGTGCTGAGGTTGAGAAATACTTGTCTATAGCATAAATTCTTAATGGGGGGACTATCGCTAATCCCCAAGGGTTAGACAATTGGTACTTGGGGAAAGCAAGGAAAAAAACCTTAACTCCAACTTAATGAATTTATGTAAACTTTTAGATAAACTGTATGTTTATGTATAGTTCATAAATAGATATACATTATATCTGTGGTATTAAAATTTCATGGGGGGGGCATTAATAGGAAAAAAATGTCTAAAAAGGTTCCTAAAGAAGGCAATAATGAGAAAAAGTTGAGTAGCACTGGTCTGGAAGTGAGGGGAGTATAGCAAAATCTCATCATTGCTATAACTGGTTTTAACAACGATTAAAAGCTTAGTTACATTTTCACAAGTTTGTATGTTAAGGAAAATGAACATCTTACTGAGCACCACCTCTATGTGGTGGGCACAGTAATAGGTGCCTCCTTTGTTTCAAATCCTTTATATCATTTCATTTAATCCTCACAATTTTACAAGTCAATTTCCTTAGTTTATAGATTAAAAGACTAAAAATCAGAAATATTTTTGTGCAAGGTCTTAAGGGTGAAAGTGACTGTGCTGGAATAATGAGAATCCAGGTCTGACTCCAATGCCCTGATTATTTCTCCTTCACCATTCTGCTTTTCATTGCTATAATATTCAGCAAGGTACTGCACCTAGAACACCTGTAGTTATTTAAAACGCTAAACTTCAGCGAAGTCATCAAATAGACACTACATTATCGGGTGAATTTCTCTTTTAAAATCTATCTTAAATAAATAATGAGTGAGAGCAGAGCTCAGAAGTCGTAATCCCTGGGGTCCGAAAAGACAAAACAGAATCGGCTGAGCGAAGTATTGAGGAATTCTTAGTATCAGTCTTATGAGTTTACACTCTGGCCGACCGAGCTCCTGTGAGCTGTCCGAGTCTCGCTGATGCAGAATGAACGCTGACGACCCGCTTCGTTAGCTGCTCAGCAGAGAAGAGGGCAAGAACATCAGGCCTTTAGGCCTGGAGAAGAGGGGATTGTCCTGGGGATCTCAGAAACACCACCACTCTCATCTCCAGCAGCCCCTGGGAAGCCAGTCGCTGTGGGCCAGATCCCTCCCGGGTCTCTTTACTCACTTTTTTGATATTGGATTTGGAGGCGGGATGAAAGTCCTTCTTGCACATGAAGTTGGCGAAGGATTTCCCCATCTTGGAGCTAGAGCTGGGGAAAGCAGCGGCGAGATGTGGAAGCACCGTAAACAAACTCCGCCGCCTAACCGGAATTGCGCTTCCAGCGGCATCGGGAACTTCCGAGGTCAAAGGTAAAGGCTTCCGGCAATCGGCGCCGGCACTTGCCACTTCTCGCCCTCCCTGCGTCACTTCAGGTATATGGGAAGCCAGGTGAGGGGGGGTTCACGGGGGAGGGGCTTGCATAGTTGAGGTAGGACAGAGGAAGACCGACCGAACAGATGCGCAGAGCTGCCTCATTTAGGGGCTCTAGGCTCAGCTGCGCCTGCTGCCATTAGAGCGCCACCGGCTGGGGTGCGGGGTGGACGGCGGCGGCTTTTCTGCAAGAGGTGCTTGAGGTTCGAGCCCGTTACTTTCTGTGGACTCTGACTCGAGTTGCAAAAACTTTTCTGCACCGGTTTTCTTATCTGTGTTATGGAGATGGTCATAGTAATTCTTGCCCTAACTGTAGTACGTTTGTGAGGTTTCAGCGATGTGGTATTTCTGAACGTGCTCGGTGGACTAACAGCGGATAGAACAGAACGACAGCTCCACAAGAGCGGAGGCCCTATTTTGTTCCCAGCTATTTCCAGCTATACGTTGCCTGACGCAGAAAGATGTTCGATAAACGTTTGTTGAATGACGAATACGCGTTAGGAATTAGTAAAGGCTCTCAAGGCTTCACCTCCTTAATGAACTAGGTGCCATTTATAACTAGGCAGCAAGTTTCCTTAGTTTTCCCTACGGCCCCAATTAGACAGCTCAGGTCACCTAGTGCAGCTTCATGTGGCCCTTGGGACTCCAGAGTTTTGAGTGGATGTGGCTGCTACTGCCGTAGGTGATCCACCAACAAAGTCCTCCAGCGGGGTGATGTTAAGAATAAGATATTTGTGAGACATATACTCTTCTACCAAATAATAACAGTAACAGCTTTCATGTAAGTGTCTACTGTGTTCCATGTACTTGCAAAACTCTTCATATGTTGCCTTATTAAGTTCTCATAACAGCCCCATGAAGTGATATAGTTTGTTTTACTGATCAGGCAAGAGGCAAAGAGAGAGAGATCAAACAGCCTGCCAAAGTTATGTAGTGGTGGAACTAAGTTTGGAACACAAATAGAAGGAGGTTCAGGACATGAAGGTTGAAAAACACAAAGAAAAGAACATTTGCATCCATTAAAGTAGAAGCAAAAAAAAAAAAACAAAAACCAAACCCAAAACAAAAACAAAACAACAAAACAGAAGCAATCATGACCCTCTGTCTTCTCGTCACTGGGGAGAAGAGAAAAACCCTTAGGAATTTCAAGCTGACGTTGTTTGTTTCTTTAGTCATTTGTTTTCTTTTCTTTTTTGAGACAGGGTCTCACTCTTGCCAAGGCTAGAGTGCAGTGTAGAGTGCACAGAGTAGCTGGGACTACAGGCATGCACCACCACACCCAAGTAACTTTTCTATTTTTTGTAGAGACAGAGTCTCACTATGTTACCAAGGCTGGTTTTGAACTCCTGGCCTCAAGCTCTCCTTCCAGCTCAGCCTCCCAAAGTGCTAGGTGAGCCACCACACCTGGCAGTTTTCTTTTTAATGAAACATTTACTACACTTAAATTTTGTTTTTAAATTACTAGTATCTGCCTATGTAAAGGCATGTTAAAAAAGGAAACTACAAAACATTGTGTCCATTCCGAAAGCAAAATAAAAAGTATAAGACACTTAGGTATTCTATAAAAACTGAGGATTTGAGATTTTCCAAATTACAGTTGAAGAGATAATCTAGATATTAAATTATACAATTAGGATTTGTAAATTATGTATGTGAACTTCCTGTTGGAAATATCAATAATTTGGAATTATATTGACATCCTCTTTGTATTTGTCAGAATACAAAGTGAGTCTGTTTCAAAATTCGGTGTTAAGTATTATGATCTGTGTGTCTTCTTCCCCAGCTCAAAGGAGACCCTTTCTTCCTTCCTTTGAGGAAATACCACTGGGTACATAAGATAAGGTCCAGCAATGAGAATACAAAGATTAATAAGACATACTGCCAGCCCTCAAGGATCTCACTGTCCAGTAAGGGAACTCATATATGTACACAAATATAGTAGAATATACCCTTTACGACAGTAGAGCTATGTACAAGGATCCCCAAATATGGAAATAATGAAAGGAAATTCAGGGAAAGCGTCAGGAGAGAAAGGTCTTAGAGAATAAATTTGAACCATAGACTAGAAGAAGGTAGTTCTCATTGTTATTTTCTTATTGACTCTTTTAGTACAAGATTGAGTCCCAAGTCATATTCTTATTGATTTTTATACTACGGTATATGAAATTTAAAACTTTAATGAACATCCTTAATTAGATATGGAAATAATATTCCTAGGTCATTGAGTAAAACTCTTGGTTTTTAACATACTAAAATATGCTTTCTCTTTTTATTTTAAAACTTTTGTATAATTTTTAGTTTTAAAAAAAAATGGAGCCTTTTTCCTGTGACACTTTTGTGGCATTACCTCCAACAACAGTTGATAAAAGGATTATTTTTGGAAAAAATTCAGATAGACTCCGCGATGAAGTCCAAGAGGTAGTTTATTTTCCTGCTGCAGTTCATGATAACTTGGAACAACATCTTAAGGTAGGTGAAATACATGTTTTGTTAGCAATATGTTTTTTAAATAAATATCATAAACAGTTATTTCTATCATTAGCAATTTGGCAGAGACTATAGAAGTTAAAATTTAAGAATTTAAATTTGAGAAATAATTTGAGTCAGAAATAAACTTTTGGTCTTTTATTTAAATGATTTAGAAGAAGTTGAAAGAATAATAATAAAAAGTGTTCAATCATTGATCAAATATTTGAATACTTTCCATATGCAAGCATGATAGGGCAAGGGATTTAAAGTCAGCTGTCAAGACTTGGACTTGGTCTTCCACGGCCTTAGAGTGTAATATAGGAAGAGGATATGTATGCAGCTATCCCCATTATAAAGGAGGATGGTTAAATGCTAAATTTAAGTAAGAGCAGCATGCTGTAGCAACAGAAAAGGAACATTTAATTCAAACTGGGGATCAAGGAAGGCTTCATAGGAATTGGGGTTAGCTAGAGTTTGATGGACAAAAAGGATTCTGATTCTGAATTGGTATAAGTTCTGGTGTAGAATAGAAAAGTCATTCCAGACTCTGGGAGTAAGAGTTTTATGACACATTGCAAAAGGTTTATTAGGCCCTGTGATAACTATCAACATTCATTTTATGCAGTCACTTGGTAGTATACACATTAATTAAAGGATCCTTTAAAAATTAATTTTAAAAATGTATTTAACATGGAACTTAAAGTGAAAGTTTCACATTATGCTTTTGTTGCTAATTTATACTCTTTGGATTTATTTTATTGGTATTCTAATATTAAAATATACTAAATATTAGATTTTTTCTGTATACTCTGCCTTTTTTTTTTCTGAGACTATTCATCTGGGATACCATTTTCACTTTATCTCTTCATATTTAAATCTAACCTATCCTGTAAACCAGCGATTCTCATTCTTTTAATTGCTATGGACATACCTGATGGATGACTTTGACATGTGACATGGGATGCTATGGCAATACTCTTGTATTTAAGGGCTACCATATGGGTACTTATATCACTAATCAAGAAACACTGGACATTGAGGTTGAGAATTGCTTCCTTAAGCTTCAACTCACATACATCTTCCTCTACAAAAAATGTTTTAGGATATCACAACTATAATAGAAACCATCTCTCTCCTGAGCTTCTTTAACACCCCATCTTTATTTCACTTCATGGCCCTTATACTATACATTTTGTTGTATCTTAGTTAATGTGCACAAGTCTTAGTTTCTTTTTTTTTTTGAGACAGAGTCTCACTCTTTTGCCCGGGCTAGAGTGAGTGCCGTGGCGTCAGCCTAGCTCACAGCAACCTCAAACTCCTGGGCTCAAGCGATCCTTCTGCCTCAGCCTCCCGAGTAGCTGGGACTACAGGCATGCGCCACCATGCCCGGCTAATTTCTCTATAAATTTTTATTTGTCCAATTAATTTCTTTCTATTTTTAGTAGAGACGGGGATCTCGCTCTTGCTCAGGCTGGTTTCGAACTCCTGAGCTCAAACAATCTGCCCACCTCAGCCTCCCAGAGAGCTAGGATTACAGGTGTGAGCCACCGCGCCCGGCTGCAAGTCTTAGTTTCTTGAAAGCATGATTTATATCTGATTCATCTTTAATATATCTCTTGGCAGAGTGCTTTATAACAGGAGATGCTCAGCAAAGGGTCAATTCTGAATTGAATATGTTTTAAGGATAATGCTTTTATTAGTGAAAATTTCTATTAAGTTATATTTCACTTCTTTCGTAATGATCATGTCTTCTGATTGATTTTTTTAAATTCTGGATTTTGATAACTTTTTTGGTTTTGTGATTCTTGCTGTGACTTTTTTTTTTATTACAGTGTACTTATATAGAAATTGATCAAGTTCCTAAAACATATGCTGTTGTCCTTAGTCGCCCAGCATGGTTGTGGGGGGCAGAAATGGGAGCCAATGAGCATGGAGTTTGCATTGGGAATGAAGCTGTGTGGGGAAGAGAAGAAGTTTGTAATGAAGAAGCTCTACTGGGCATGGACCTCGTCAGGTTATTTTTCTGTTATATTTTGTACTATAGAACTTGTTGAAATTTTAAATTTTGGTATAACTCTTGCCTGTTTTCCTATTTTTTCTTTTTTTTTTTTTTTTTACTTTGATACTTTATAATTTGTGTCAAAAATGCTTCAGAATACCAGCATGCAATTCATGACTCTTGGATACTATTAATTGGGAGAAGGGAAGAAGTTGGAAATTATGATTCATTGGAAGTACCTAATGTACTTGTGTATCACACCTTAACTAATTCTCATAATAACTTCATGTGTTATTACGCTCATTTTACAAATGAGATACCTGACATTCAGAGATAAAGTAACTTGCCAATAATTACCAAGTTGGAATTTGAACATTTGACTCTAGAAACTTTGTTTTCATGATTCTAAACTGACTTCAGAAGGAAAAGTTTAAAAGTTAGACTTCATTTTATCTGTTAACTTGAAAGGATTTTTACTTTGAATATAAACACAAAATCTCATGAGCATGAAATTATTTGAGAAAAATAATGGAAATTTATTTTAATCTGAGAACTTTAATATTCTTATTTTAGACTTGGCCTTGAAAGAGCTGATACAGCTGAAAAAGCCCTCAATGTCATTGTTGATTTATTAGAAAAATATGGCCAGGGTGGAAATTGTACAGAGGGTAGGATGCTTTTTAGCTATCACAACAGTTTCCTGATAGCTGATAGGAATGAAGCCTGGATTCTGGAAACTGCAGGGAAGTACTGGGCAGCAGAAAAAGTACAAGGTATGGACAACTTTTTGTGATTTGTTTTACAATTAATAAAAAATGCCCTTAACTGCAGATATTGCATTTAATTGTCTGTCAAGATTTATAATCCAATGTAGTAACTGCAAGAGAAATTAAAAAATTTGAAAGAGCAGTGAAAGAGCACTATAAAGAGCTTTCTTGAAAAAGATAAAAAGAGAATGTTAGATTTGGGAATATGAATTTCATAGTATATACTTTCTTTGCAGCAGCTCTTTGCTATTTTATAGTACTTTTTCACTTTTTAATAACCCCTTGCCATTTCTTCCTCTTTTAACTTTGAGCTTCACTCTAAAATTTTATCATTTGTTAAAGTAGAGGTGAGGAAATGGGAGTGGGCTTAAGGGATGGGTATTTGTGGGTTGGTAGTTAGAAAGGATATGTTGATATAATAGTAAAACATAAAAATTTGATACCATTGAATAAAATAACACAATTCGTTTTAGAATGCTTTGGTTTTTCTTTCCCATGGTTTCTTTGTGATCATATAGTCCTCTGATTTTTCAAGTGAGGAAAGCCAAAGATGTAAAGTGACTTAAAGTACTGAGTGAAAGACTTGAAATTTAAATCTTTCCATTCTGATTCTCAGCTCAGTGTTCTTTCATTAGAGCACAACCTTGTGTTCAAGCATAATCATGTATTCTTACCTCCCAGTTGTTTTAATGGACATTTTATGTTTTGCATGTATGTTTTTAAATGTATAAAATTGAACTTAGACTATTTTTCTTATTATGATAATTGGCCTGATTGTACCATTGATCCCTTTTTATTTTATTCAATGTGCTACATGTGAGAGAGAAATGAATAAAATACATTCTGTTGAAAAAGCCCCACATGGATATTCAAAATGAACACTTTCATTATTGGGTATGATTATCTAGTTGTAGATTAACTTTGCTAACTAGTTTCTTTTTCTGTAATTAAATGAGCCCAAGAACTAAATTGTTAAACTGTAGGGAATTATCTATTAGATAGAAAATTCTTCTGTCTTTGATTGTATCATGACTCAAGTCTGGTTTTTGTAGTGAGAATATCCCAAGTATGACTTCATTTGAGTAATTTAATTGATTTGTACTTGGCAGATTGTCATTTTAAATGATTTTAAAACATTAGCAATTTTTATTTATATGATATGTTTCATTTATTATAATCTCTTTAGGACAGGCTTTTATATCTTCTCTATTTTGTATTTTAGTTGAAAATTTTGTTTATAACTTAGTACCATGATATTTTTGGAAGCCTTATGTTTCTGTTCTAGATGTATTTATGATTTCTTTAAAAAAAAGTAGTTCATAGGAAAGACTAATACCTAGAATATATAAAGAACACTCAAAACTCAAAAGTAAAATAAAATCTAATTAGAAAATAGGCAAAAGGTATGAAGAGACATTTGACCCAAAGGGATATACAAATGTCAAATAAGCACTTGAAATGATGTTCAGTATCATTTGCCATTAGGAAAATGCAAACTAAAACCCCAATTAGATCCCACTATACCTCTGGTGAGAATAGTTAAAATAGTTAAAATAAAAATAATGACATTTTTCAAGTAAGTATAAACTGTGAATAAAATTTTAAAAAATAATGACATCACCAAATGCTGGCGAGAATGTGGAGACTGGTTCATCTATACATTGCTCATAAGAATGTACAGCCAGTCACTCTGAAAAATAGTTTGGCCATCTTTTAAAAAACTGCAATTACCATGTGACCTAGCAATAGCACTCCTGTGTGCCTATTCCAGAGAAATAAAAAAATTACATATATTTATACAAAAACCTGTACACAAATATTCATAGCAGCTTTTTCCATGGAGGCGAAAAACAGAAAACCATTCATATGTCCTTTAACTTGTGAATGATTAAGCAAACTACAATACATTCATACCATAGAATACTACTCAGCAATGAAAAGGAATGAACTGTTGACATAATATATATAGTAACCTATATGAATCTTCAGAGAGTTGTGCTGAGTAAAAATAGCCAAAAGTTTATATACTGTATTACTCTATTTATATAACATTCTTGAAATGATACAATAGAAATGGAGAACAGTCCAGTGGTTGCCTGGGTTTAATGAAGGATTGGGGGTAGGGAAATAAGTGGATGTGGCTATAAAAGGGCAACATGAGGGATCCTTGTAGCAACGGGAAGTATTCTTTACTTTGTATCAATATTTGTATTCTGGTTGTGACATTATATTATAGTTTTGTAAGATGTTACAATTGGGAGAACCAAGGTAAAGGGTACAATGTGTTATTTCTTATAATTGGATATGAATCTACAATTATCTCAAAATAAAAAGTTTAATTTTAAAAAGTAATTCACTTTTTATTCTGAATATGTAATAGATACACATAGAAGTCTATATTTACATTTAAATAGTGATTAAGAATCACAATTACAGATAGATGCTTTATGTTAAATATGACTTTTCCTTTTCCTTTTCTTCTTCTTTGAAAATAGAGGGAGTTCGTAATATTTCTAATCAGCTTTCTATAACAACCAAGATTGATCGGGAACACCCAGACATGAGAAACTATGCTAAGCAGAAAGGTTGGTGGGACGGTAAAAAGGAGTTTGATTTTGCTGCAACATACTCTTATCTTGACACAGCCAAGATGATGACTTCCTCAGGCAGATACTGTGAGGGCTACAAGCTTCTAAATAAACACAAAGGTAATTTTTATCATTTAAATAATATCAGAATGACAAATTACATTTTGTGTAGATATAATGTGGGAATGATAAAATGTGTTTTGAGGAATTATACTTAGTAAAAATATAGCTTTTTTAAAACTGAAAATGTGATATTTATAAGCTATTTTTGAGATAAGTGATATACAGTTTTGAGAGGGTGATGATTCTTTTAAAGGTCAAGTTCAGATTCTCAATCCTTAGACCCTATTTTTTTAATCTCCTGTTAATATTCCTAAAATAAAATTGGGATTACTTTTCTTCTCAGAATTAATTGGAACATGGAGAAGGGCTTCTTTGACTCTTGCTGCTGCTTCTTTTATTATCTCTTGATAATACTCTTATCGGTTATTTTCTTATTACAAAATTTATCTCTAGAAGTTCTGGCCAAGAAGACAAACAGAACAGATACAAGAATTCCCTTTTTCTACTCCAGAACTTTAGAAATGTTGGATAAAATATCTAAACATTAAAGACATATATAGCTAAGTTCAATACAAGAAGGGAATTCACTAGTTAGCAAAAATGAAGAGAGGACCCATAATGTTAGCAATACTTGAGGTGTCTTCTCCCCACACGTTCCTCCTCATCTCTGTGTCAAGAGGGGATTATGGACCAGATAAAAGCCTTAAAGGCTAGAGTGTAAGCCTCTGTGAGAATATAGGTGTCTAGGTGAAATTCCATTTGGGGAGTAGGAACTGGACTCCTTACTAAGGCTATGAGTCCGAAAATGCTACTCTACTACCTGCCCAGTTTTAGTCTGGAGTTGAACTGCCTGCTGCCGTAGCCTATGGATCAGTAGTCTCTTGTAAGAGATTGAATTCTGAGCCACATGTATTTTGCAGGCTCAGCTAAAGCTACCTGTGCCTGCCAAGAAACAAACACTGGTTTGGAATCAGTAAACCACACAAGATTCCAGCATACCTGTATTTCTGTACTCACTATGTGAATATTTGATATGACAAATAATTATATTTTACTCAAATTTCCCATCCAAATTAGAAATCTGCTTAATGAATCAACATGTAACTGCCATCAAAAACATTTAAGTCAAATGGGGGTTCAGATGAAAGGATGTAGTTTCTACGTCTACCACAATAATTTCTAGTTATGTCCTCAAGTTCACTGATACTTTCTTCCTCTACGTTATTTCATCTATTGTTAATATCATCTAGTAATATTTTCATTTCATATATTTTTTATCTCTGCCAATTCCATTTGGTTCTTTCTATATAACTTCCATTTCTCTATTCATTACCTACAAGTTTTGTTTAAATCCTTGAGCATATTCAGCATATTTATAATAATTGTTTTAGCATTCTTGCCTGTTAACTTAATCATCTCTTTGATTTCTAGGTCTTTTTTGTTGACTTAATTTTCTTCTGGTTTAGGTTTGCATTTTCCTGCTTACTCACATGTCTAGTAATCTTCAGATGGTGGGCATTGTGATTTTATTTGTTGAATACTGAAGTTCTTTTTATACCTTTAAACAATGTTGGACTTTGTTTTAGCAGTTAGTTAAGTTATGGAACAGTTTAATCCCTTTTAAGCCTGTTTTTAAGCTTTTCTATGGTATCTCTAGAGTAACTTTAATCTGGGGCTAGTTTACTAAGGCATGTTAATCCCTTTGAGATCTCCACTGAATGCCTTGTGTATTAAGCAAGGTTTTCCTACTCCAGCTGTTGAGAACTTGAAAAATTCCCAGCCTAGTGTTAGCTTTATGAACTTTTTAAAACTTACAATTCCTAATTTCTCAAACAAAAAAAATTATTCTTTGTTTGGCCATGTGGAGTTTCACCCTATGTGTGTATGCCAATGGGTATTTTGTCAAAAGCTCTAGGGAACCACTATATAGATTTTGAGAACATTTTCTTTGAGTAGCTTCCTCCTCTCTGGTGTTCTGCTCTGCATTTTCTAGCCACCCTGGCCTCCCTGAACTTTGATCTCTGCTTCCTCAATTTAGAGTATCTTTGAACTATCCCTGGGTTCCACCTCTCCTCACTATGGTCTAGAAATTGCTTCCAACAAGAAAGTCAATGTGATTGTAATGCTTACCTTGTTTGTTTCCTTTCTCTCAGGGATCATAATCCTATACACCTGTTGTCCAATGTCCAAAAACAGTTGTATTTATTTTGTCCAGTTTTCTGTTTATTTACAGTAGGAGGATAATAATGGACCTTGTTTCTCCTTCATGGTTGGAAGCAGAAGTCCTATTTACATTATAGTAAATGTTTTTTGCAATATAGAAAAGAAATGCAATTCTTATTCAATAAGATACATTATTATTATGAGCTGCACATAGTACAACCACTATAAGTTCATTGAGTGTTAAAATAAATAGATAATTGGTATTTTATATGCTTTCTATTATGCAGAAATTCTTGGTAGATTGTTATATGGGTTTTTAAAATGTTTTAATAATATTTGGGGAAATTGATTTTTTAAGGAAGGGGTAGGAATATATTATCATTTCCCCACATAAAATGATGGACTGTAGGCTCCTGCTATCCAATATTGTCCTGAACTGTTCAGATTCAGGTAAAGAATATTATGTATGACTCTCTCTTTTATGGGATTCTCCCCTCACTTCCTACTGCCAGAAGGAACAAGGTTTTCTACTGCTGCTTGCACAGAATTGCACGGCATTGATTGTGGCCTTCTCTCAGGCTAAAGGGAAACATACTGTTATCTCCCTTCCATAATTTTCCTGCATTTGTTAACTGTAAAGAGCCTCCAGGTAGTTGTTTTTCTGTATTTTGTCCCAAGTCGATAGTTAATCTGAGGGAAGGTTGGCCTGATAGGAGCTTACTTAGCCAAGCTGAAAATGGAACTCCTTCCCGTGTCATTTAATGTTCTATGACATTATTTTACTTATAAAAAATATATATATTCACATGATCTAAAATTCAAAGGTACACAAGAATATATAATGAAGTCTCTCT